AAATAATTTAGTATTCTGTTTTAATTTCTTATTTTAACTTTTATTTTACTTTATGAATATTGTCAGCACTTTTTTTTCGACCACGTCAAAAAAGTTTTATTTTTAATACTTATTCAATTTAATAATTTATCACGTTAATAGTTATAGTTGGCAAGGCTATTTTATAATTTTATAATACCAAACAAACGACTTTCATGGTTATTGATAAAATATAAACGTCTTAAAACTCCCAAGAAATTATAAACATCCGGTGAGAGAAAACAGTCAATGGCCAAAAAAATTTACTTTTGTTTTGATAATATTATGAACAAATATTACTAGTAGATTTCAATAATAATACTTTTTTAAATTCGAAAAATGGGTGCTTAATAATATACTATTATCACATGGATATTAAATTTATATCAAATCCTACGATTAAAATTGCACTTCTTGTTCTGGTTACCTTCAGTTACTTTTCTTTTTTTCTTTGTCTATTTAACACCTGGTTTGTAACCTTAAGCGTTCTTGGTGTGTAAGAGTAGTGAAAACTCGAGTCACACTAATATTTTCGTGATGTAATTCTCTTGAGTTAGTTTGATGGTGCTTGTGTTTATATCTTTGGTTACTTTTATGCTCCAGAAATTTTTAACTTCTCCTCAATACATCATTTTTAACTTCTTTGGTAACTGTCTTTTAAAATCCGTTAGCATACTCTACGTATCCTACTAGGATGAGAATTTTACCAGAAGATTACCAAGTAAATAGACAGGGTTTATTTTGAAAGGCTTTGAGTGCTATTTTGTTTATGACCTTGATAAATTTTTGATACCATCGTTTGAGAATTATTTTAAGTCCACACAGAGACCTCTTTAATTTGCATACTAAACCTTCAGTTACTTGGTCTAGCAGACTTAACCATTCAGGAATTTTTTTATTTTTTTCCTAAAATAGTGCCATGCAAGAATGCCGTTCTAACATCCAGTTCACACAGTTATAGATCATGTTTGTTGATGGCTACAAAAATAGAACTGACCAGTGCCAGTCTTGAAACCAGAGCGTAATTTCCTTTTGAGATAGAATTATCTTTATCTTTAAACCCTCGAATGACTAATCTATTTCTGAACTTACTTTCTCTCTTTTGATCCACTTTCCTTTTAAAGACTTATCTAAAGTCAATTATATTAGGTCTTATTTCTCCTGGCTCATAAGTCAGTCAATGTACGGTAGTCCAGACTTTATTTTTTTTCATGGACGTAAATTTTTTCTCGATTGCATTTTTTTAGACCTCGTGTTCTTAAAAATCTACGGCTTGCTTGTGGGAGGCTGGGTCCTCGTTAACTTGAGCCAGAAAACCATACTGATTACCTTCTTGAGTATGCGTTTGGATTTTGAGTGGTCTTCCTCTTTTCTTTTAAATTTTACTTATTACCTCCGTTTTCATTACATTTTCTTTCTCTACTTTATTGAATTTGATCAGCTAGCTTTTCTTCTTTAAACCTCCTATTACTTTCTCTCAAACTTTAATACCAGTTCTACCATATACATCGCCGTACACGACCTTTCTATTGAATTGAACGTCTCTACATTGAAAACTGAATGAAGGTCCTGCCGTCCTTTGTCAAATCAAAGTTGTGGTGCAAGAAGAATGACTAAATAGGTATCTCCATATTATATGACTTGTGCTGCATTAAATTGTAAGTTAATATTGCGGCTCCTAAGCTAGGTCCCGTGTATTCTCCGGTAAGCGAGAATCATGCATGTAAGCTCTCATTTCGCCTTGTATGGTTTGACTAGAATTTTTTTATATTTAATTATGCAGAAAAATGTCAGGGCAGGCTGATTGAAGCTCCATTTTTTATTTTTCTTACACTTACTTTGTATGTTCTTTTGTAAACAAAGTTTTTGGTTGGTTCTTCGATGGTAAACTGTAGCATAACTGTCTGATAAATTGCTTGAACTATTACCAAACACTTCCTGGCACTGGCAAGTGTCACTTTTATCTCGTATTGGGTATGCAAGCTTTAGTCTCAAACAATCATCAATGATCAAAACGGTTAATTTATACCGTTTGGATGTAATTTAGGACTAAAGGGTTCTATCGTATTAACATTAATAATTAATTTAAAGTGGTTTAATTGCTCATGTCCAAGCTTGTTTAAACGAAAGTTTATTTAACTTTGAGATCGTACATGCGTCATATAAAAGATTATCTTCATTAAAGATTGCTTCATTCAGGTGTTTAATACTTGAAAGTTTCTTTCAAAGATCTTTCAAATATGATATGAAAGCATAGCCCATTTTGAGGTGCCATAGCATCGCACATTTGTTTCTTGTAAATTTTTGTTCAGTTTAAAACTTCAATCACTTTCAGTGATCAAAGTATTCATGGTTACTGGTTTTATTTAATCAACTTCCTTTATTAAACTTCTCTTAATTTTTCCTTACTCCTGTGACGGCCCTTGATGTAAAATATCGAGCTTCAAATTATTGTATTCAATAGATAATTAATACTTTTATTTATTTAAAGTCTGACTACCTAGTATGATTTTTCTTAGATTTCATACATAACTACTGTATTTACTTTGAAGTGAAATATATTGATTTTTTGTTGTCTAGTCAGATACCCAGGCCCTTATGCATAAGCTTTCTTAACGGTAGTACATTTCCGTCACAAAAGAAGAGTCTCCTAACCTCATCCATTTACAATTATTTCATCCTACTATATCCGCTATTAAAAATTGACTTAGAATTTTTTAAGTGCTCAGTAGCATCCAAGTCTGCAATAAGCTTTCCAAGATTCCTAAATTTATTATCACTACTGGCACTCACGGATGCTAAGAATATAGTTAACGATCAAAAGCACATGTTATTATTCCTATTGTAGTTGTTCCTCGTATTATAACGTGATTTCTTGTCGAATTTCTTATCGTTTAAGATTTTTCTCATGTGTCTGTTTTTGTAATTATTGTTTTGTGATTATTGTTGTTATTGTAACCATTCCTATTTTTTCGTTTTTTATTTACCTATGTGTTGAATACGTACGCGTCATCTAGCAGTTTACCACCATGGCTCTTGAAATCCTAGCTTTAATTTTTTAATTAGTACTCTATGCCTTTTTTTTATTGAGAAAGTTGTTGTCCCAATGCACATCAGTATTGACAAACTTTTCACACCAGAAGCACTTCCTTTTTTCTTCTGTCCTCGTGTTGTTATAGAATATGTGATTTATTCAGTCACACTTGAAACATTTGGGGGGGGGGTCTTCTCTTAAGATCGCAGCATGACAACAGATACCATTGCAGCTGGCCCTCTCAGCATTCTGTGAGACTCAGTCTTTTAAAGATATAATTTGATTTGATGATATCATAGTGCCTCACCTTTATTAACCTGGTATAAGAAGTCTACATTTAGTACGTTAGAAACCAACAGTACAACTTCATTGTAGAATGCGTCTCTCTTCCTCCCTTCCGATAAAGGGAAATTATTATGCAGATTGTCGTATCTACGTACTAAATCTTTAAATTTGGCACAAAATTAGATAGCAGACTTTCTGTAGTGGTTGAATTTAATGTTACTCTATCTTTTTATAATTTAGTTTATAAATTCACTTGATTGACATCCATTTAATTTTTCTATTTTCTTTAACAACAACGTTAAGTCTCTCATGTGAGCGGTTTTTCTATGATGTCTTCCATGTATATCTTACTGATGTATGAAGAAAAGTCACTGAAACCGTTGTAATCGCTAACCGTAGAAAGTACTTAACTGATCTGACTGATATTTTGCATACTCATTATTCATGCTTCCTAAATGGTTTTAGAATAGTTTTTAGTTTAAAAAAATTTAAAATGATAGCACTAAATAAGAGCAAAGTTCTGCAAAAATATACTTACTTTTTATGTTATTTAATAGGATTCGCTAGGTGGCGTAAGCATGAAATTGAAGCTACCTGCAATAGAAATAAATAAGTGTGGTTAAAATAGACCAGAGCGTCTTAAGGGTTTCTTAAGTTGTTTACCAACAGTACATCCAGAATACAGTTAACAGTCGTGTAGCTAGGTATCCTGGCTACCAACGACACTTTTCTTCAATGGTCAAGCAACCTACTTCTTTTTCTACCCTGAACTATCTGAATTAACAAGTGCCATTAATAAGAAAATTTTGTATATGATAACGTGTCCAGTGAAATACCAGGAGACGTGTCTAGCCAGAGCACAACCTGCTCCAACACTTCAGAATTTTGTGGCCATTCAACCATCTGGCCTGGCACTGTCAGTGAATTTTTTACTAAAAATACAAGCCAGGGAAGACAGCTCTGAGGAATTGCCACAATGGCCTTTTTTTCAGTGGTCGTCCCAGCGGCATACCCACAGACAAAGTTTTCTCTAGGTCCACCTCCCTGCCTAACGATTAGCAGTTGATTATCTGGAAAACGACCTAAAGACGAGATATTTTGTGGGCCAGCGGTGCGGTGGCGTACCTCCCTCCATCGCGGTCTTCGTACACAGAGACCTTGAGCATAAGAGCCAAGCTATTTTTTAGTGTTATGCATAGAAAATTATTGAAAAAGTCATAAAAAAATTGTGTACCTGCCAACTGACAGCAAATGTTAGACGTCGTAGCACGATCTTTAAAATATTGAGTAATTAGCATAACCTAATTATATTAAAGAAATTCTGTAGGAGGGACGTAAGGAGAATTTAAATTCTTGGAAACTTATATGATACGTAAGAATCGGAAATCCAAGCACTTAAAAGAGCTTATTCTATAATTTGACTTTCACAATAACGTACTATCACGAATGTGTATAGAATAGGAGTTATAAATTATCCATGCTAGAAAAATTTTTAATTGTATACTTGAATATACTTATACGGTAAAAATAAATATCAACGGTGAATAACTGGCTTTCGATGCCCTCCTTACTTGTGTCGTAGAAAAAAAAAATTACACAATACGTATTTTGATTAAGTTTAAAAATATTTGATTTAAAAAGTCATTTATAATTTTGTAAGTACCTTCAAGACGAATTTATACTTTGATTCACCTAGAAAGAATATATGTGACCTCTTCACTGGAGTATCAACAATGTGTGGTATTCTTAATGCTGAAGTTACTTTTAGCGATGCATTCAGAAGGCTTTCATGATTTGGTCCAATGAAACCTAAAATAAATAATTTTATTTAAAAGGTGTAAAATGCATTATTTTTAATCACGTGTGACAACGGTTATAACTAAACAATTTTCAGCTGTTATCATATCATTATTCAACGCTTGTTGATGAGTCTAAATGTAAGACCATCGGTTATTACTCTAGAAAAAAAAAATTTCTTTTTCTATTTAAACTTATTCAACTACAATCACATAACATTTCGATTATAAAAAAACAAAAGAATTCTTTACTGTAGATAAGCAATTATCATTAAGTATACTTGTTCAGGCTGCACACCGCAATCAACGCAAAAGTGACAATTTGACATTATTTTTTCATTATTTTTTTTCTTATATACTTGCTTTTGTGTTAAATATTTAAATGAGGTGCCTAGCAGTGAAGGAGCTAGCAGCGACACAAGAGACATCATCGCAATTTACGTTCGATAGCCTTAGACAATGCACCCAAGTCACTCCCCTCTTTCTTACGAACGAATCAGACAGACAAGTGACAAGACAGTGTCAAGCCTGAGAATCAAGGTTTCCAGGCACCTCAAGTCACACTATTAACTCGTAGTTTCCGAGCACGTTCTCTACTTAATGTGCTTTAAGGAATTATTACTTCGAATTACACAGCAAGATCTTCAAAAAAACATAATGGTGCCCGTATATGCTTCATTAGTGCTAATAATTCTATTTCTTGGACGTGCACATTTATGTGTCTTAATGATTTATTAACTAACTTTTTTTTCTGTTATTTTTGTTACTCATGATAACGTTCAATTGTCAAATGTGTCGAATTATTTCTTTATTTTGAATAGTTTTTTTTTTTTATTTAATCATTCGAAGGACAAAAATAATATTTTTTAAAGAAAGTTCTTCAACAATTCTCTAGTAAAGGAAGCTTAAATAAATTAGGATCGCTGTGATATTTTTGTTCTGTTTTTAAGGCTTGTAGGCTATCTATTGTACGTAGACATTTATTGGAAAAATATATTACATTTACGCAGATTATCACACCTTTTAAAATTATGTAAGATACACTTAATATCACCAAGGGAGCATAATAAAACGAAGAATAAAAGTTTTTTAATTAGTAGGTGTATAAACTCTGATTTTAAATGTACAAGCCACGTTTGTTGAAAATATATATATACTTTTAAGTAACTTGTGTCAGTAAGAAACTTATTTGATAGTAGTGTATTAGCATAATTTTAGCATCGTGGTAACCATTCTGACTATAAGTTCTAATAACCACTCTAGGTAACGGTCGTTCTTTTAAAGCTACTAGTTCCAATATTACTTGAAAGCCTAATTTTTCTAATTGTTTACTTATTTTTTCAACAAATACAGCTTATTATTAGTAAAAATTGATTGTTCGTAAGAAAAAAAAATTAATAAATAAATAAATACAAAAGAGTTTCTTTCCCAAAAACTTTGAACAGCTACAAAGCTAGCTCTAATGTAAGAAAATCACATTTGCAAATATTATGGTGTTGTTTAGTTGCATTATTGAGTATTACAATTTTTTTTATACAAAAAGCTAGAACAATAAGATTTAATTAAGTTCTACCTTTGCAGCCTAGCTTACCTAACATTGGCCAAACATGGTTAATAGACAGCAATGAAATACAGTGTTACTTCAATCTTAGGTAGAGAGCTTACTTTAAGTAATACGTCCAAAAAATATTTTTAGAATGAACAATTACTAATAAAATAAAATTAAATTAAAGTTTTTTGTAAAACTAATAGGCAGATTCTACTGTCTACATAAAATTTTTAATAATATTCAGTTTCGAGTCTCATTTAATTTATCCTTATTCAGAATCACATGTCATTACACTGTCCATCAAATCTATAAGATTCTTATTTTTTTGATCATATTTATTGAATAATGCATAAATTACAATGTTATTTGCATTAGGTACTTCGTAAGTAAAGAAATTTGTATCAATAATACTTAAAAGAACTTCTAGTCTACTTAACGTGAAAGTCATCTATCAACTTTTATGCGTTTTAGGATACAATGACATTCTTTTACACTTTTCTTACTTGATAGAATGATTTACTGAATTACTTATTTTCAAAAGCAACAAACCATTATCAATTAATCTGACATTTGATGTTGTGATCATGTTAGGTTATATCATTTTTAGAGCTGCTCTCAACTTTTATCTAAACTGCTTCATGCATATTTTATGCAAGCCGTATAAGATTAAGGGAGACGAAAAATATTTTACTAGGCACCTAAGCTTGCTCTAAGTTCGTACCCTGTTACAATAACAGTGTTAACCTAATTTTGGTACGATCGTGTTAGCCTACCTTGGTCATATTTTGCACTTTTTTTTCTATCCCACACTATCTAATTATCTCTATCTGCCGTTCTCGAAACGTGCGAAGTTTAATGGTGACACTCCCAAGCATGCATTATACAGTCTTCTGCACAGTTGCTTGTCTTTTACACTTACTATCTCTCTTTCTCTAACTAGCCTCACCTCCTGATTGAACATTCATGAGTCAAAACCCCGTACGATAGTTTCTGGGGCTCCTCTAGCTTTAGTCATTCTAAAAGAAGTAATCAGGAGAAATTTTCACGTTTTCTATTCACTGACACCATGTTGATCCGAAAAGAGCCACTTTTAGAGCAACAAAGTGAAACACGCTCTTGTCTTTTTTTGTAGGACAACTATCTAGCTTATTGTTCTTCCATTAATGTCCCACTCTTTCGCTTGCTCTTTTACCCTTTTCTCTATGTTCTCTTTATTTTTGTTGCCCTTCGAAAGATTATTGCCCAAGGAGGGTACAGCTGCTGCTGAGATCTTGTACACATTTCTCTCTCTCTCTCTTTCTCTGTCTCTTTCTCTCTCTTTTTTCTATTTAACACTCTACGCACCTTCTTTAAAATTCTGTCGCAGCTTTTTATTGATCTCTACCATACACCCCGAAACAATCGCAACAGCCACTGAAACTCTTGCTGTATGAACTGAGGCGTTAAACTTGAGACTAACTTACAAAAGTGAGCTTTCATTTTTAGCCATGGCCACCACTACTGCTGCTGTCGGATATCTCTCTTCACAATTACTCTTGACTCAGCTACTCTATATATGTAGTCCCTTTTGCGTTTTCTTGTATTCTTCTACTGCTACTGCTATATCTTGGTTGCTTAGCTAGTTGTTCGTTTGCGTCTATTTTTCTAATTTCCGTGTATGTAACAGCTATTAAAAAATAAGTAGGAAAAAGAGTGTAAATAATCCACTTTGTAGTAGCTTTTTGTACGTTGATACTTTTTTTTTGCATTACTTTAAGTATTAAAAAGTGAGTAAAGGTTTCAGAAACGTTTTGAAATCAGAAAATCTGTCAGAACTTAAAATTGGTATAAGAATAACTGGTTGGCTCCTGTTGAGTGTTCATTTTACGAAAAAAAAATTGCTTAACAAGAAGAATGTAGGTTTAACAGATAAGCCTTTGAATTTTTATGACGTTTTAAGCAGTAAAATTAGTAAAAAATAATAAAGAACTTTTCAAATAATTTGTTTGCTAAATTTTAAGAATTTAATTTTTTTTTTTAATTTAAAAACTCTCCTGTTTGATTTTTCTTTGGCATTCTTTACGAAAAAAAAAAAAATTTCGTAATAAGAAGGATTTTGTTAAGTAAATAATAAGTGAGCCAAATTTGAATGAATCTGATAGAAATTTAAGGCTGTTAAAGGCCGCTAAAATTAATTTGGGGATCTAGTTTTTTCTTACATTTTTTTCTCTATTTAAATAATGCAGTCGTTTTGTACCTAAATATTCTGCGCTTTATGACTTTGATAAAGAGCTGTGTTGTTTACAACTTTCTTATGTCTTATGTTAATTGTGAGATTTTTGTGTTTAATGCTTCGGCTAAGAAGAACATAGCCAAAAAAAATTAAAAAATTTCTTAATTCTACCACTAAAATTTCATTTTTATGAGTCAAGAAAACTACTTTTATTTTCTAGCCAATATTTTTGTTAAGACTACAAGAATTTGGTACTCAAATAAACTTCTTACACAATTGTGCTAATAAAATTAAGATATCAAGGAAAAAGAATTAGTATTTTGTAGCTCTCTTATTTTGTTTCTTGGAAACGTAATACCATATCTTATTATCTTTTTTTCACACTTCTTATGGATTCTTATGTGTGCAAATAGAGAAAAGCAGTGGTAAGTGACGAGCTGTTATTGCAAAAACAATCATTTATCGCAACATTAAGTATAAGTTATAGTCATTTCCTATTACTTATAAAACAAAGTCTTTGTGAGATACCTAGCAGATGTAAGATTCTTAACAATTTTTATTGGCAATAATCTTGAAGACTGATGGTTAATAAAATAACAGTGATGTAAAGTGTGGATGACTTTTAAAAACTAAGTTTTATTTAATATTTTTCAGGCACACAATGGTTTTTTGTTATTTGTTGTCTTCATTGCGTAGATATTCACATATAGCCAGTTCATCTAAGATCCAAATTATTTTTACACCGTTTGCTGCCTCTTTATTCGTATGCAGTAATTTTTTTTTAGGTGAAAGGAGCTCAGACAATTTTTATTTATGACTCAGCTAGGTTAATGTAATTTTCTCTTATTTACAATGTTAATATAAATATGTTACAGTTTTTTAAAAATTTTTGAAACTAAATCATTGAAAATATATTTAAAATACTGGAAATTAAGGTTATGTCACAATAAAAATTATTACATCTTTATTAATGCCCCGTAGTAGTTTTTTGCCTTTAAGAAAACCTTTTCTATTGTTTTTTTAAGTCAATCTGATTTTTTTAAGATATGAAATACTTTTTACTTTTTTTTTATTGTTTATTGTATTAAAAGAAACAAGATACACTTTTTTATGTATGTAATATATAAACACATTTTTGAACATTTTCACATGTATAACCGTATATAAATACCCTCATATACGTTCTGCGTGCCAATCTTTTTATTTTTCAGAATAAGTGAAATACTTTATTGTTTCAATTAGTTCTTTAAAG